ACCACCACAGAACTACCAAGCCAGTGCCCCCCCCCCCCCACCATACGCCCCCACCACAAAACTTCAAAGCCAGTGGCCTCCCCTCCCAGTCGTTCACTGTTACAGTTATATAAAAGCAGCCGTGCCTATTCGTCAGCTACGAAGCTGATTTGGATTTTTGATCATGAAAAGAGGTCAGACGAACATACAGCCATTGCAAGTGCTACGTTATTTAAAAAAAACGACTGCAGAGGCAGATGGTCTAAAAATTGGTATTTGAATGGTTTCTCTGGACATTTTATCTAATATATAGACCCGAAGTATTCCGCCTTTTGCGGTGAAATGAATGATATTTAAACCTGGCTTAATTACTTTTAAAACAAGGATTATACAGCATCCGAGTCAAGCACTGAAGGCTACAGTGTATGCCTCTGCATTAAGCAGCTGTGTGAAATAGGATATTAAAATTTTTTGTTAAAAACCTAAACCTGTTGGCACATTCTGTACGACATCAGCCACCCCCCCCCCCACTCCCCCACCCCCTCCCTCGATACCCAGTACGCCTACCTTGCTGTGGATAACCACACTACTGACTCGCTCAGCTTGTAGCAGTGTTCGCAGCACTGATATATATTGTGAGTTCAGGAGAACCAGTGAGATTTATAAGTATAAGCACACGAATTTTGTTGTCAACAGGATGCGTTTGTTCTGAGTGGTTTATAGTAACATTTCATGTAAACCCGGATGTAGCGAAACCGACCACTCATGGTTACTATCCTATACACACAGAAGAAAGTGGCCTTCCAGAAAAATGTGAATATTGAGTCACTTTTGTGACGCACTTATTTTGTTTAATGTTTTGATAATTGCTTTGCATCACTTTTAATTACTGGGTCTGTTAAATTCTTTCCATATAAGAGGAAAATATAGCATAAAGGAATAAAAACGAAAAAAAAAGGGAAAGTCAAAATCATTCAATGTGCGTCATATAAGTTAGTTAAATATTCACTTTAAAATTTTGTCGAATTCACAATTCAGAAATCTGCACAGACTAACCAGAGAGACATCAGTTAATATGTAGTAAAATGTGCTCTGGTTCACATAGAAGGCCACACAGCCCCAGTATTGAGGCCAGGCGGACTTACAGCACACGCTCCTCCGCCCACTGGTTTCTTCTTTTGTATTGTCGGGTTGATTTTTTTTCTTAAACAACTTCTAAAAATTAAACCAGGACGTCATTCATTGTTATGAATTTCTCAACATCACAGTTCAAATGAATCCGTCGTGATGCATTAAATAGAAGCTTATATCCTTTTGTACGCTTCTTAAATTATTTCCTTTTAGGGAGTGGTTAAAATCAAACACAACCCCACCTCCCTTTATCTAAGCCCATAAACCTAGAAAATATTGTCTTAAACTTTTTTCTAGGTTTTATATGTACTTGATTTTATTTTACTCTGGTGAAAATTGTCTCCGCACTATCATCCTTTTTATGCCCAGACGATTCTTCTGTAAAGAAGAAAGGTCTTCTCCGCGCTCTAATCCAGAGCTATATTACCATGCTAATTATTCTGTGTTTGTGCGTTTTATCTTTTTATTTAAACGTTTTCATGTTAAACCATCTTTCACTTTTGTGTAATCCTTTGTTTCATTCATGCTGAAGCTAACATCAGTTAAAACCATATAAAATCAAATTGATTTTTTTTCTTTTTTTTTTTTTTTTTTTGTATTTTTTAAAACCGCCAGCCTGTATAAAACTCCTTTGCCCGATTTCGCCACGCCTAAGCTAACAATAGAGAGTAAAATTATAAATATCTCAAGTACCCGGAGGTCCGGTCTGGAAAAGCTGATAGTCGTCGCTATTATTGGACCTACGCTTTCAGCGATACAGAACAACTGTATTGTGGCCTTTCAAATAAAAATACTTTCGGCATGTACGATTTCCTTTATTGAATTACGTGTCAGAGTCACGGTCCATGAAAAAATGAAACAAATAACTTCGCAATTTTCTTGGTGTTTGCTACATTTTCATATTAAGTAAACAGTTTGATGTAAGTGTCTTGGCAATCAATTGTTCCACCCACCCGAAAATAGATCCAGCTGCGCTTTATATAGATATATTTCAGAAAACCGTTTTGTTTCAAGGAGGCGTGATGTGAACAATCTCAGTATAAACTAAGACATAGAAAACGTTTCGTACGTCCTTAAGCTTGGTATAAAACTTTGAGAGTGTAAGAACAATGGCTGTGGTGTCACATCCGGGTATCAACGAGGTCAATAAAGAATTCTTCTTTTTGAGTTGGTAGACCTTAGTTTTAACGATGGGTCCAAGTTTGAATAGGATCGAAAGAACTGCCTTTGGATCAGAAAATGAATTCAGTGAATTAAAATTCGATCAAGGTTGTATGTCATTTCTTAAGTTGGGTGAACTGAAGAGGAAAAAAGTTTAGTTTTTCAGAATAAGAAACCCCTCTTCTGAAATTTCTGTCTTCAGGCCTTTGCATGTGCGAGTTCTTGTTCACGGGCTTTCTTGTGCTTGTCAACATAGCGGTGTCTCCATTAATGCTGCCTGATAAACCAGATCTTTGTCTAGAGGTCGAAGAACTGAACTAACAGCCCTTAATAACAACTGTGAAGATCCGTTATCTTCCCGCGTTACAACATACACCGATGTATGCCTTAATTCTACTCAAAGATGCATGGGAATTGTTAAGCTCCATGCTTGGGTAACATGTCGCTTATCCTTACATGAGTCAGTAGAATTTCGATCACCCAGAAAACATTTGAAAAATCTACAAAATCCGAATTTCTTCCGAAGAACTTCGAAGACAACTCCCCCCTCCCCTCCCCAAAGAATGGCATATCTGTAATGTTGACTGAAGTCATCTATCATTTTATATGAAAGGCTGCTATTCTATACTTCAGGTTCAGGTTCTTACTATACTGTGTGTCTTTGGCTGCATTCACAACCAAACTTGATCCGCCGACTAACAGATCCGCGGATCAAATATGGCCGACCCACTTGAAAGTTTGGCGCGTAATCCCGAGCGAGGAATCTTTTTAGTGTCTGTTAGGGGATTATGTGACAAGCTTTCAAGTGGGTTAGTCATATTTGATCTGTTCGATGTGTTAGTCCGCGGACCAACATGTTCTGAATGCGTCCTTTATAACTAACTAAGCCGGCATCCTGGCTTATGATAGTTTTTTAGTTCTTTGAAAACTCCGAAGTGAAGAAATAACATAAAAATCACTGGTGCATTCGTGGGAGAGGGGATTCTACCTCTTTGCCCCCCCCCCTCCCCACCGCATAGCAACCCCACAGTATCTATACAAATAAAGTCTGCGTGCCCGTAGGCAGGTGGGGTCTGGGGATCAAAAATCTATTGGTCGGAAATGATTAATTTTTAATCATTTTTTATGCAGGATCCAGGCCATTTCTCAATTTGGGTCAGGTAAAGGGGTAAAAAGGTTCTGTCTTTCAGAAAGAGAATCCCCTCCCTTTAAAAATGGTAGCTTGATTAGGGGATTAATATCTATCAAGGGTAAAGTTAACTCGATGCAACTTGTCATATTTGTCCTGCTGTGGCGCGTTTTCTGTTTTGCACTGTGATATTCCATCCGTTGATCTGCATATTTAATTTTCCGAGAAAATGGTAACTTTGTGAAGTGTCACGCTGCACTGAAGACAAGCAGGTTTGTATCTGTTTGCAGTAGGACCCGTGTAGAGCCGCATTTTGCAACCGACCGCATTTTGCAACCGGTTGCAAAATGCGTTCAGTTGCAAAATGCGGTCCTACTAAGTAGAGCCGCATTTTGCAACTGAACGCATTTTGCAACNCATTTTGCAACCGGTTGCAAAATGCGTTCAGTTGCAAAATGCGGTCCTACTAAGTAGAGCCGCATTTTGCAACTGAATGCATTTTGTAACTGCAACGCATTTTGCAACCAAAGAAAATCGTGAAAACGCATTTTGCAACTGCAACGCATTTTGCAACCAGGGTTTTTTTCTAAGTCCCTAAAACAGCTTGAAGTACGATACGGGTAGAATTGGAGTGGGGACGGGTTTGCTTCGACTATGTATGCTGAAACTGGCCAGGCTGCCCCTGGGGGGGACGATAATATAAAACATATTTCACATATTTATTTTAAAAACCCATGCAAGACCCCATACTTTCAGGCATAGCCTCTGTAGAGCAACACACATGCTAATTACTATTTATGATTTATTAACATATTTGTTTTGTATTAAGACACAACGGTTGGTTGAACGCCAGGATTCCTGAGTGTGTAGGGCCTTATGGTTGGCATGGGTCAAAAGGACAGCTTTAACTGGATTCCTTGACCTATATTCATGCCTACGACTGTAAGTCCGTTTAGTGCAATGTGCGCCGCTGCTGTTCTCTACATTCCTCAAAGACCCATGTACATTCATTATCAATCCCCAACATTTCATGTTCCTAACTCTAAGGGTAGATAGTAGAAGTAACGGTGCAAAAAATAGAATCAACCACCCCAGGGACGGCCACACCCATCAATACCCCAGAAGGCTCCATATCTCTAAAGACATGTTTTCAATTCCCATTGCCTTCCGTTCCTAACTTATATGGTCTAAAGGTAGATAGCAGAAATTACAACGTCTAATTATATTCAACCACCCCCAGGACCACACCCTAAGTCAAAAAAATTAAATGCCATTCAACATCCCATATTATACTGTAGCTACGTTTCATGCTTTAACTCAAATGGCCGATACAATGGGCAGATGGCAGAAAATACGTTGGAAAATTAGAATCAACCACCCCCAGGGACAACCACACCCATGTCACAATAAATTTCCGAAGTGCCCATGCACGTTTTTATTTCCTAATTCTGAAGATATAAGGGTAGATAGGAGAAAAATACGAAGTAAAAAGTACAATCAACCACCCCTAGGGACGACCACACCCCAATTAAAAAAAAACAAAACCAAAAACAAAAAATCCGAAATCCCATGCACATGCCTAACAAAATGTTTATTAACGTTTAGAGTTCCTAACTCTAATGGTTTAGGAAATTACAATGTGCAATAAGTTTTATACCCCAGGGGGCAGCCTGGCCAGTTTCAGCATACATAGTCGAAGCAAACCCGTCCCCACTCCAATTCTACCTGTCTCGTACTTCAAGCTGTTTTAGGGACTTAGAAAAAAACCCTGGTTGCAAAATGCGTTGCAGTTGCAAAATGCGTTTTCACGATTTTCTTTGGTTGCAAAATGCGTTGCAGTTACAAAATGCATTCAGTTGCAAAATGCGGCTCTACTTAGTAGGACCGCATTTTGCAACTGAACGCATTTTGCAACCGGTTGCAAAATGCGGTCGGTTGCAAAATGCGGCTCTACACCCGCCCTCTACATAGCTCCTTGATTGACGTAAACTATGCGACGACCCTGGATTGCAAGATGTCCAATAATTATGACTGCGATTAATGATTAACTATAATAAATCAAATATTAAGAAAAAAACATCTCAGTGTCTTCTTAGTGGTATGTATTATTGTAATGTCAGGGACGGTTTACACACCCCTACCTCTTTCCCATCACTATGTGATATTAATTTGGACCTTACCCCTTCACCGCGATAACCCGGCCCTGATATAACTGGTCGCACACATAGCTGGTGAGATTAGAGACAACTGACTTCAGGGACATATCATCATGAAGCTGTCCCTTGTGGCATGTGTTTTACTTTTGTTAGGCTATGGTGAGTATCCAAATTATTTCTTATTCGTGTCTTGTCGTTATTGGACCTTTCTAAAAATCATCCTTTTAAATTGCAATCTTAATTTTTCTATTTAATTCCAGTTTAATTTACTTTATTTTAACCTTTTAGTGGTCTTGAAATTTAAAGATGTCTTTATATTTGATAAAAAATGAGCAGTTGCGGTGGTTTGTGGTGCTTTAAGTTATCCCAGAAGAAAAAGGTAATAAACAAGCTTTATGTTTTCCTTGAAAATTTACCCACGCACATGGCAAAGTTAATTTTGTTGGATAGTTTTCATGCTCGAAAAGATCAGTTATTTAGTCATTTAACATAAATCTCTCTCTCTCTCTCTCTCTCTCTCTCTCTCTCTCTCTCTCTGTCTGTCTGTTTATAATTCAACAAAGAAAACGTTTTCCCTCGCTTGGTTCCCCTAAAACAGTCTCGATCTCTCTCGACTTCACCTATCTCTTTCCTGGGACGTAAGAATGTGAAATTATTGCATATTTGTTAAATTCTGAACACATTTTAACACTGTTAAAATGATAACATGGTTGTTGCTGTAACTTGTGTTGACTGGTTTTCTCGCGGAGGTTAATATCAGTCAGTATATTCCAGTGTCATCCCAGGCCAGCGTGAGGATCGAGGTTGACACTGGCTCAGTGAGGTACTTCTCCAGTGCAGTGCCCAAGGAAGGAATAACCATCACGGTGAGTGGGAAACTGCACAGATTTTAAAACATCCTCCAAGCTTTTCACCGGCGATATTTTGTATCTTTCATAGACGGAGTCTTCTCTATTAATGTCGGGTAATACCTATATAGGTCGCTTTGTGTTACTGTTACAAACTAGTTTTAATGTGATTCATTGTTTGGTATGAGGACGGCGGGTTTAGGACATTACGATATCATCTGTTAAAAGAATATCAGTCTTAGTTCAAGGATGGAGGCTTTATAATGGCGATAATGAAAAAACAGTTTTTGGATACAGGTAATTATACTAAGAATAAAGTACACACAAGGCGTTTTATATAAAAACGAAAGGGCGAAAAACTTCAGTTTGCGAAGTGCTCCTTGTAAATACCCCCCCCCCCTTTCTTTAACAAGAGCCTATGTTCTGTGGGAAAAAAATGAATACAGTATGTATAATGAATTTATTCGGATTTTGGCAGATTTTTTAATTGGAACCACTTTAACCCAATCCCTCCCTGAATTTGAGGAATTTTTTCAGTGGCATCCAGTCAACAAGTTTGAGGTAATTCCCACTGGCTTTGAATTTCAAGGCATTTTCAGTTTTAGCGCTTCTTTCAATTGTGGCTTCATCGGCTTTTTGCTTTTCCAAAATTTCTTGCTGGACATTACAGCAATGTGCAGAGAATTAGCCAGAGAAATGTCCATGAATATCTGGTGAATTCACTCTCTGTGAACCTGGTAGCTTCACGGAAAGTTACAGGAGAAGTTAGAGTCTGGAAAATGGATGCGAAAAAATATTACTGTAACCAAATTGGAAGGCGGCCAACAGTAACACATGGCAGATTCCAAACTGAGGTGAGCTAGTTCGGAACTGCTTGTCCCCATTCTCACAAATCACGAGCACGAAGAACGCTCTGTCACAGGGAAGTTCTTCCACATTTAGAGAGATAAATGGTTCATATCACTCCTCGTCCATGACGCGAAGATTAAACCCGTCTCCAATCTGACGATATAGAAACTTAAATATGGGACAAAACTTGTGCAAACGCTGATAAAACACGTGGGAGAATACGCAGACGAATGGCTGCCTTCTTTGCCAAGGACGCAGCTCATGCAGCTGGTCTTTAAAAAAACTGGGTTATTCTTGTCAGCCGCCTACACCTGCGTTCAGAAGTTCTTTGTCTTTACTTGTCAAACGACAGTCAACATCTGAAGGACAGATAACATATTTTCTTGACTGGGCAACTCCTTTTTACCACACCTACTCTTCTTCCCATCAGAGAAATCCGATATCTAGTTACCCATTTCATATCTGTTATATACACTTTTGGAAGTTTATCAGTTCAAAAAATAAGTTTGGTGTTAATTTAAGCCACAATCTGATCACACATTTCGACAGCTGACAAGTGTTATATGTAAAATCAAACAAGTCAGATTTGATGATCAACTCCTGGGCGATAATGATAAAACTGGTATCTGTTATTTAGAATATGACGTCAGTACAGTAAGTCAAGAAACCCATCAATCGTGGGTGACGTAATAGTTTATTTTAGATCTATTTGATCAGACATGCTTCTGAGCACGGTGGACATTTTGCGGTGTCAATATTTTCATAATTTTTGTTCTTAAACTCATACAGACTATTAACCAATTCACTTACAATTAAATGCATGAGAACATATGGGTAAAAAGAACTAACTAACATTTAACAACATCAAACGTACCAAAATAATTACCATCATGATTTTCAAATTTATCAAAGAATTGCCGTATTCCCTTCAACCCATCAGGTAAGGTCTATTCAGGGCACAGGCGTCCTATATTTCTCCACACAAACCAGGACCCCAGGACCGACCTCCAATGAGGGCAAGGTGGACCTCGCTAATGGCACCTCCCATCTGGTCTTCATAGACGGGAAGGGAACAGACGAGATTCACGGCGCCCTAGCGGCTGTGGACTCCGGTGTAGACGGCAGCGGTGATGGCGCAGACGATAAAGTCATCATTGAATTACAGGCGCAAAATGGCGACCACAGACCAGGTATGACTTTATTTATTTATTAATTGATTGATTTAATTATCCTTTTAAGTAATCTTTTATTTTTGAATCTAGAGGAATATTGAACATTTATATGAAGATATTTTGACAGGTATCTCTTGTACAGAGTTGCCCATAACAATTATTCAGTTGATGTGAAGTCACTTCTTATATAGATCTGTGCGCAAGCGGTCCCTGTCAAAATGGCGCCACGTGTCAAAATGGCGGTAACGCCTATAGCTGCACGTGCCCCGCGGGATTCCAGGGAATAAACTGTGAAATTGGTAAGTCACGTAAACAGATGCCACTGGAATATATTTTTCTTGATAAATTTCTATTTCTGTAATAATACTGCATTGTTTTTTTATTCGGAGAAACCGAAAATCCTTCCCCATCACTGTCAAATGTTTAAAAAACTTATTTTAAACTGTGGAAATTTATGAAAAATATTGACATCGAAGGAATCTTTTCTTTCTTTTGCACACATATCTAAATCAAATTATTTACAAAAGATAATTTTGCTTTGGCACAAGGTTATGAACTCTTAAAAATGACATCAATTGAAAAGTGACTAGTGACTTTTGTTTCTAGACATAAATGAATGTGACAGTTATCCCTGCCAAAATGGCGGGACGTGCCGAGACAGTGTCAATGACTACAGTTGTACGTGTCATCCAGGGTTCAAAGGGAAAAGTTGCGAGATCAGTAAGTGAAGCCATTGATCTCAGGAAACTGAAGCTAGGTTTTTTTTAGACTGAGCTTAATCTTTAAAAATACTCGGTGATAATAAATGCTTTCTTTTCGGACATTTTTCGTACACAAAAGTGAAAGAAATAACCATTTCTAATGATCATCAAGCGGGAAAAAAATTCATGGCTTATACCTGCAAAATTTGCATCCGACTTGCCGACTAAATTTTCCAATTGTTTTTTTTTTTTTTAGTCGTTTACAGAAAAGCTTAATTGTGACAAAATATAGTATATTGAAAATTTTGCCTCTCAGAAATGACCATAAAATTAATAATGTACATTTTTCTTTTTAGACATTGATGAATGTGACAGCGCACCATGTCAAAATGGAGGAAAGTGTCAAGATGACATCAACGGCTACAGTTGCATGTGTCCAGGCGGGTTCCAGGGGAAAAACTGCGAAATTGGTAGGTACAGAATTGACTTTGACAATATTGAAGATCTTTTCTCTTTCAAATTCAATGTTTGCAGATACAGTGGCAAAGTATCGATGAAGATTCATTAATTTGGACAAGGAAAGTTAACAAATTGAAAATATCACATCCCAAGGTGGAGACAAAAATGATCTCATCGATCGTCGACCATGAGATTGCTTTAGCTGAGATCAGAATTTTCGATTTTGCTGTACACCGTGTGTCTTCAGGTCACCAAGCTCTACAGTTTTCTATACCTCAGCGGTGTGCTTGATCTAAATTTTAATAAGGCTCCGGGGTGGGTGGGTGTGTGTGTGGGGGGGGGGGGGGGGTTAAGGGTGACTCTATTATATTACCATACTGTCAATGTCTCAAACTGGTGAACAACAGAAAACTGTTGAGCTCGATATGAAAAGAATTTTGTTCACATAGCAAGACTATAGACCTGTCTGCTCCAGCTTAGAGTTGGTAAAGAAAGTTTGTCAAATTATCATTATTTGTTGCATTTTACATTGAATACTCTTCGTATTGCCCAGCAAACTGCTGCACCTGTTTTTTTCTTTATTTGTTCATTTTTTGTTCATACATGTACACTGGACTGATGTGACCTATCAATAAATATGTGTATTTCAATGATATTTTACGTAATGTTTACATGAGCTGCCATGATAGAATTCTAATATAGACAATAAATGTAGTTTGTCAAAATTCTCCGTTTGTATTTTTTTCAGCCCCCAATTTCAAGAACCCATGCCAGTCATCTCAGTTCCAGGCCGGGCACCTGTTCTTTAAGCATCCTAGTGACAGGTCCAAATACGTCCAATGTGACCTATGGGGGAACATGTACATCGGGAGCTGCCCGGGTAACCTTCTGTGGAGTGAAGTCATAGACGCCTGCGTCCATCCTACACATCACGCCAACTTACTGGGAGGGCGCGGCAAGAGGCTGGCGGTCTTGTTCAATCCGTGTGCTATCAAGGCCAACATCGATGCTGGCCGCCTGTACCACCCCTATCCCGGTGACAAAGCCAAGTACATACAGTGTGATAAGGTCGGTAATATGTTCATCAAGGACTGCGCCCCAGGGTCGTGGTGGAACCAACAAAATGAGACCTGCGGTGATCACGCCAAGCCAGGACCAAAACCGTTCAATATCAAAACTACCACCCTTCCCCCAACCACCACCACTACGACCACCCCAAAACCACCCAAAAACCCCTGCACGCAAAAGAATATAGCAAACGGGGCTCTGTACCACCCATACCCCGGAGACAAGACCAAATACATCCAATGCGACCTCTGGGGAAGCATGTATGTGAAGCAGTGCGGTGCCGGTACTTGGTGGAATCAGAAAAATGAAACCTGTGTTGACGCCATCGCCGAGGCCCTGATCAAATACGGTGTTTTCAAGCCTGCTGTTCGTCTGGCATCCACTCCAACCCAGGCACCTTCAACCGTAAAGCCCATAAAGAACCCATGTACCCCAGAGAACCTGAGACAAGGTCTCTTCTACTTCGCGTATCCCGGTGACAAGACCAAGTTTATACAGTGTGACACGTGGGGGGTGATGACAGTGAGGACGTGTAGCGTTGACACTGCATGGAACCAGAAGAATCAGACCTGCGCCGATGCTTTCGACGGGAAATTGGTAAAACCTTTTGCTGCAGTGACCCAGCCCCCAACGCCAGCCCCAACAACCACACAGGCACCCACTACGAAGCCAGCAACCCAGCCTCCCATCTCTAACCCCTGTACCCCGCAGAACATCGCACTAAACAAACTGTTCTTCCCACACCCCTACGATAACACCAAGTACCTCCAGTGTGATCTGTGGGGGAACGTGTGGGAACAGAGCTGCCAACCGGGGATGGTCTGGGACCAAAGGTACGAGACCTGCGTTCCATCACCTGGCGGGCCAGTTGTGTTTAAAGTGACCCCTAGCACCGCGGCACCGACAACAACAACAACAACCACTACAACCACCACAACCACACCAAAGCCCACCACAACCACTACTACCACTACCCAAGCCCCAACCAACAAACCAGTCAAGAACCCCTGCACCGTACAGAACATTAATGCTGGTCGTATATACCACCCGTACCCCGGAGACAAGACCCGCTACATCCAATGTGACCTGTGGGGAAGCATGTACGTGAAGCAATGCGGTGCTGGCACTTGGTGGAATCAGAAGAACGAAACCTGCGTCGACGCCATCGCCGAGGCTGTAATCAACGGTATTGTCAAGCCCGCTGTGCGTGCAGTATCCATTACAAACCCCTGCACTCCAGACAACATTGCCAATAACATTTTCTACTTCCCATACCCCGGCGATAAAACTAAATACATACAGTGCGATAAATGGGGCAATATGTATGTCCAGAGCTGTCCGGCAGGATTGTGGTGGTTTCAAAAGAATGAAACCTGCGTCAGAGCTTTGCCTATGCCTGCTGTCATGAGAGTGTCCACCACCACCACCACAACCCCTGCACCACTGGTGAACCCTTGCACGCCGCAGAACATCGTACTGGGCAAACTGTTCTTCCCACACCCCTATGATAACACCAAGTACCTCCAGTGTGATCTGTGGGGGAACGTGTTTGTACAGAGCTGCAAATCGGGGATGATCTGGGACCAGAGGGCTGATACATGCATTCCATCATCTGCCGTTCCAGTTGTGTTTAAAGTGACCCCAAGCACCGCGGCACCGACAACAACAACAACCACTTCAACCACCACAACCACACCAAAGCCCACCACAACCACTACTACCACTACCCAAGCCCCAACCAACACACCAGTCAAGAACCCCTGCACCGTACAGAACATTAATGCTGGTCGTATATACCACCCATACCCCGGAGACAAGACCCGCTATATCCAATGTGACCTGTGGGGAAGCATGTACGTGAAGCAATGCGGTGCTGGCACTTGGTGGAACCAGAAGAACGAAACCTGCGTCGACGCCATTGCCGAGGCTGTAATCAACGGTATTGCTAAGCCTGCTGCACGTGCAGCATCTATTACAAACCCCTGCACTCCAAACAACATCGCCAATAACATTTTCTACTTCCCATACCCCGGCGATAAAACTAGATACATACAGTGCGATAAATGGGGCAATATGTATGTCCAGAGCTGTCCGGCAGGATTGTGGTGGTTCCAAAAGAATGAAACCTGCGTCAGAGCTTTGCCTATGCCTGCTGTCATGAGATTGTCCACCACCACCACCACAACCCCTGCACCACTGGTGAACCCTTGCACGCCGCAGAACATCGCACTGAACAAACTGTTCTTCCCACACCCCTACGATAACACCAAGTACCTCCAGTGTGATCTGTGGGGGAATGTGTGGGAACAGAGCTGCCAACCGGGGATGGTTTGGGACCAGAGGGTTGATACATGCGTTCCATCATTTGCCGGGCCAGTTGTGTTTAAAGTAACCCCAAGCACCGCGGCACCGACAACAACAACAACAACTACAACCACCACAACCACTCCAAAACCCACCACCACCACTTCTACCACTACCCAAGCCCCAACCAACAAACCAGTCAAGAACCCCTGCACCGTAGAGAATATTAATGCAGGTCGTATATATCACCCATACCCAGGAGATAAGACCCGATACATCCAGTGTGACCTCTGGGGAAGCATGTACGTTAAGCAATGCGGTGCCGGTACTTGGTGGAACCAGAAGAACGAAACCTGCGTCGACGCCATCGCCGAGGCTGTAATCAACGGTATTGTCAAGCCCGCTGTGCGTGCAGTATCCATTACAAACCCCTGCACTCCAGACAACATTGCCAATAACATTTTATACTTCCCATACCCCGGGGATAAAACTAAATACATACAGTGCGATAAGTGGGGCAATATGTTTATAAAGAGTTGTCCGGCGGGACTGTGGTGGTCCCAGAAGAATGAAACCTGCGTCACCTCTGTTCCTACGCCTGCTGGCATGAGAGTGTCTACCACGACCCCTGCACCACTGGTGAACCCGTGTACCCCGCAGAACATCGCACTGAACAAACTGTTCTTCCCACACCCCTACGATAACACCAAGTACCTCCAGTGTGATCTGTGGGGGAATGTGTGGGAACAGAGCTGCAAATCGGGGATGATCTGGGACCAGAGGGTTGAGACCTGCGTTCCATCCCGTGGTCGCAGGGCGGCAATTTTTAGCCATCCTTGCACTCCTGAAAACATCAAGGCAGGCAAGATGTTCTTTGCCTATCCCGCTAACAAGTACAAGTATATCCAGTGTTCCATTTGGGGCGGACAGTTCCTAATGTCTTGCGGTGCAGGCACGTGGTGGAACCAGCTGGGACAGACATGTGTTGATGCCGCCTCTGAGGCCCTCATCATCGCCAGCCATGGAAAACCAGCTTCGTGGGGCAGGACAACACCAGCACCGGGCACAACCAACAAACCCATCGTCAACCCATGCACCCCTGCAAATTTGGCGTTGAAGAACATCCTATTTGCACACCCATGGGATGCAACCAAGTACCTGCAGTGCGACCCACAGGGTATTATGTACATTATGAATTGCCCCAGGGGTACGTTCTGGAATCAGAAATACGTTCAGTGCTCGTCCAGCATTGGAGACCTGGTGGGGAAATCTACGCCTCCACCAAAGACAAATCCACCCTCCACGGCCCCACCAACCACTACACAACCACCAACCACCCAGCCACCAACCACTACTCAACCACCTACAACAACCCAACCACCTACAACCACCCAGCCACCGACCACCACTACTACCACCCAGCCACCAACCACCACTGAAAATGTAACAACTGTGCCAATTACTACGATGCCTCCATCAACCACCGGACTCCCCATCCCCAATCCTTGCACTCCAGAGAAAATAGCGGCCGGGATACTGGTTTTCCCGTACAAACCAGACAAATCCAAGTACCTCCAGTGTGACCTATGGGGCAAGGTGTATTTGGTGGAATGTCCCAAGGGAACTCAGTGGAACCAAACAGCGGAGCAGTGTTCCGGCGGCGCCATCACCCGTAAAACCTTCGGTAGTGGTCTGAGGACCACGTTGGACAACCCGTGTACCCCTGAAAACATCAACGCCGGCAAGTACTACTTCCCCTACCCGGGTGACAAGACCAAGTACATCCAGTGTGACCTCTGGGGAAATATGTACATCCGGAACTGCTCCGAGGGGACCGTGTGGAACCAGAAGAACGAAACATGCGTCCAGGTTGACCCAGATCAGCCAGGAGCCAGTGTTAAAACAGACAAGGTGAAGCTCATCCCGCTGGCACTTAATAACCCCTGCACTCCAGGCAGCGTCAAGTCCGGGCACGTGTTTTACGCCCATCCTGATCCCAAGATGTACATCCAGTGTGATCGTCTGGGAAACCCCTTGCTTCATAAATGCCACAGTGGCATGAAGTGGGACGACACACAGAAGCGTTGTGTTAGTACCAAAAGTGTGGTCTTCATCAGCGGGGCGTAAATCAGTCCACAATCTTTGACTTCCCACGACTTTACCAACACCAAACCTTGATTTCGTATGTTCTTAGTTTAGAATTCACAAAGTCTTTTCATGGCTAAAATAAGACCTGCTGTATGTGAATCATGCACAACTTTTATCTGTGTAGTATTCTCGTCTTCATACGCAATTTAATGTACATGTAGTTGATATCTTCGATGAGAAATCTTTATTTTTGTTTACGAGACTGTCGTTTATATATCAAATAATCATAATCACCTGCTTACACAGTGTATATCACCTGACAGTTAAATGGGTTCAGTGTAATTGATTTGTAGAGACTTTTCACACTGCGATTCACTGATTACACATCAAAGGAGACGATAACACCGTTGTATTTTGTGATTGAAATTTAAGATTCCCAAAATAAATGTAAAATGCAAGAAATTATAGTTGTGATCTTTTACATCTTTATTGCATCAGCGTGTTTTATTTCCATGTTCTTATTGTAACAATCGGTGCTTTAAGTGTTCCATAATATATGCCAGTGGAAATTTTCATCGCAAAAAATCCGTATTTTTAAGATAATTAAATATAATTTGGTAGACTGATAACTAATGAATGATAACATTAAATAATTCTCGAAGGTGGAAGCTCAAAACCTTTTTCTCAACCAAGATTATGACAACAAAACTGACGGATAATATGAAATATGGATTTTCCTTCACTGTTTTACTAAACTACGACAAGTTCTTATTGAAGATTAAAAATCTAAAAAAAGGGATGCTTAAAATATGCGATATGGAAAGCAACTTCTTAGACTAATGATACTTGTATTAGATTTTCTCAACTTACATTTTCTCAACTTAGAGCACTTGAAAAAGCGGTGAATACTTAAAAGTATGCATAGATATCAATGCAGAGAGAAGGCGTATAACGCAAGATATTATGTTAATTTCGTGTACAAATAAGAGAATTGTTAGCAAAAACATTTTCAGTTCTAAGAACTCGGAAAACTAGGAGATGGGGAGAGTTTTGATTTAGATGGGCAGGTTGGGTGAAAAAGGGCCCCTAAATCTTGAGACTCCTTACGAAAATGGGAGGGTTGATAATTGATATCTGGTAGATGATTTTTAATAGCCCGTTATGGGAAAGGAATACAAAACTCACAAGTTTGGGAATTATATATTTTAAATTTTAGGGAGTATATATTTTGAAATTCCAGCAGAAAAGAGTTGGTTCTTTTCATTAATCTACCTCTCAACGTTCCACGATCTTTTTTCTTTATTTCCAAATCACTACCGAGAAGCTAGTTGTATACGCGGTTTACAGCTGAAGCTTTTTAACCTTCATAAAAGTTTACATTGTTTCTTAAAATGTGAGCTTGTTCTTTGCACCTATTGATCGTCCGTCACAATATATTAACATGGGTGGGGTCTACTTACTCCCAGAAAACATCATCAACTACTATATACGTGTTAAATCTGCCATTCTGTTAACTACCTTGTAACGCATTCCAAAGTCAACGAAATTAATGCAAAACTATCATTAATTACCGCTACGTCAATTAGCTTTTGGAGACCACCACCGTGAAGTTCTGAGCCAATCAAACTCGATAACAGTGCGTCACATCTGCGTTCTTCCCACCCCTCCAGCCGACACCGTGCAATCCACTTGATAATACTGGTTCTGGTGGTTACCTTTTGATCGACCAACGATGACATCTTCTAGATGCGCGTGTCCATTATGATGGTGCTCAGATAAGGGCGACATCGCATTGGACGGGGCCCGAGTCGAGGATAGTTAATGGAAAGAAGAGCTGAGACCCCCGGCAGTGTGTTGTAAACTGTTTGTTGGAGGGTTACAAGAAGCGATCACATCGCCTCTTCTCGCTGCTGGCTTTTTCTTTCACCTGACCGCGCGCTGAAGGCAGACGATCACTGGCTACCGTGGCAGACGACACAAAACCACGCAGACGACCCTTGCACAGCGCTGGACATTAGTTACACATTCCGCTTGCAGTAATTGCTGTTAACATGAGCTTTGATTTTGACTGGAAAAACAGAATATCAGAGATAATCGTGTAATTGAAACGCTGAAATTCAACAATAGCGTCTCTATTTGCATTTGCGTATTTGAGAAAAGTCCAATCTTATCACTTAAAGAGGTCACTGAGAATACATAAATCACGGGAACGAAACGAGCAACCTCCAGTAAAAATGGGTAAGTTTTCTTATTTCACCTTATTTATAAAATAATATTTACTTTTTTTCAAACTTTTTTCAAAATCAGCACTTAATTTTACCATTCGTATGCCATTACTAAAAATTATCTAAATAATAAAAACCCATTTGTCTTTACTAGAATAGTATTTTAAAATGTTTTTAAATTCACAAAAAAAATGCGAAAGGCGGTGATAAAAGTAAGGCGGAACTTAAAGCAGAAAGAAAGAGGTGCAGAAGAAAGACAATACATATCATCGACTATGCGAGGACATCTTAAATTTAGCTTTTCGACAATGGTTTTGATCGTCTTCAATTTAGTCCAAGGTAAGAATTTAACCATTTGGCAAAATTATTAGCTTTTTTGGTCTATTAAACAAACACAATATTTCATCGCGGGGCATGACAACAGACTGGCCTTGGATCAAAGATGAGTAAAATTTTGGTCTAAAACTTCAGTCTAATTTTCTGGCAAAATTACTTGTGTAAAACTGGTCGTTGATCTGGTCACTAAAAGGGATAATTTAAAATTGGGAATGGACATATAGTCAGTGTGCAGCTGGACGCTTGGCCCTACGACGTCAATTATCTTCAAAATCGTTATTACGCTTCATTTAGTTTTGCCAGGAAAATACTAGGACCTTCGAAGCAACCCTTGTAAAATATTCAAAGTTGGTCATGGCAAATTTTTGAGAGTATGATCACAATATTGGAAAAAATTACGGATAGTATAAAGCGAGAAGCGTATAACGATCATTGAAGTCTGATCTCACGGCAGTGAAATGATTAATCAAAATGCACCGTTTAAATTTTTTCACATAGATTTACTACACGAATATTAGGACCTACGAAACATACCGTGTCTCCTTGTATTGAGGATATTTAAATTATGATCACAACATTTCAATTAAAAAAGTGAGAGTAAAAAGCCGTAGGCGTAGTGATCATTGAAGTCTGATCTCACGTAGGTGAAGTGATAAATCCGCGATAAGTCTCGTGTTGTGAGCAGACGACAGCTGGTGTAAGATAGTCTGCTGTCACCTTTGACAGCGACGTGATCGTTTGGTGTGACGAGAGAAAGATAAATCTTGAAAGTCGGTTAGGACAGAGACATTTTTATGTGCGCTCTTCAATAACTCAATTTATTTATCTACATTTAAGAAAACCTTTCTTCCTATCTTTGTCTTACTTAAAACCACCGTTTTGTCCTTGCAGAGGTGTTATGTTGAATGTAAATATCTGTAATAAAAGGCGACAGAGAATTATCCAAGTATTAGCCGAGGACAAGACGACAGCTTGAACCCTTTCTGAGACAAGGCGCGTGCAGAGTGACTCCAACGTTCCGCGATCGTATTGCCGGGCTCAGACTGTTCTTGGAGTCGTTTTTTCAGTTGTGCATTGATCTGAGAAAATAGAAATTTGTTTCCAAATCAAAATCTTTTGTTGTACTGCTTTCCTGCGATATATCACAAATATGAAGTTTTATTGAAGAAAAAGGGGGAAGGTGGCCCACACGTGACATCTTCATGCTGGAAAGGTCGTAGAAAAGTCTTCTGTTATTCATAATTCACTTTGCTAAAATTTGATTCTTTGTTTATTGGGTTGACCACCACCTTTTTGTGCGATGGAGTTAAAAAGTTCAGACACCGAGACATTAATATGTCTTTTATAAACAATGAAATTACCTCAGCACGAGCACAATGACTCTCAGGCTTGCAAACTGTAGTCTATGACTATGAATATGTGCAATGATATTGAAAACAAGAGGTATACACGTACTGTTAAAAACGAAATCTATTTTCGTAGCTCATGCTGACCAATGTGACAAAAATCTATATAACATTACACTATACATTGCTGATAATTTTCATTTAAACTGTCAACCCCATTCCTGACAAAAAGTAACGAAAAACAGTTTTATTATATCGGAAGTTGTTGTAGAGTATCAAAAATCAACTGTAGGTCATATGCGGCACGCGAGCGACTGTCACCCCCCACAGGAAACAAAAGGTGCCAGCAACAACCAAGTGGCTGATACCTGCATGGTTAAGTGACTACAATCTGAACACTTAAGTGTTTGAAATCTACACAGTTAAGTCTGAGCTCAACAGATTACGCACTTGACAAGAAAAACACGTGCGTTTTACAGCCAGGTGAAAAAGGGGGCGTATAAAAGAATCAAATCGTTCAGAGACAGGCCAAACAACACGGTTGCATTCTAAGTCGTGTTAATCGCTCCTGTATCAACAACTGGTCCTCCGAACGTCAAGGTGTGAAACCGGTTTTTAAAAAGTCATGGAGCAAGTGATTTATCGCTCCCCCCTGTATTTAGTTCTCGACTAGACCATTGTTTGTCCAAGCCGTGCTAACAAAAGTTTAGCGAACAGCCCGGTTGATGTTTGCACTACCGGACTAGTTTGTATGTCTGTTCCTTCACCAGCTGTTATGCGGTATTATGTCACTTTACTAGTAGAACAGCGACGGGAAAAGTAGGAAGAAGGGTTTTATAATTTCAAAATTCAACTCAAAGTAGGTTCGATCATGCGGTATCAAGATTTCTCAGGTAAGATTACAGGAATCGTTGTTTGTTTTCGTGTGCGTTTTACTTACTTCTGTGTTATTCCCAAATTGACGTTTAACTTTTTTCATCAATTTGGTGAGTGGTGCATTTGAAATTCCATAGAAACTAAAGGCTTCTTTTTTCAATTCTTTCGTCAAAACACCCCAAAAAAAAAAAAAAAAGAACGCGTCTGCAAGTTTTAAAATTTCACAGATATTTTACGCGAAAAGATCGTCGATGCCTTGAAGTATAATAATACGCACGTTTCCTGATTTGTTTGGATTTGTTTTCTCTGTCTTGTTATTTCAGTATTAAACATCACAACTCTATGGCCCAGAGATAACTCACGTTCATAAATACACAATGCAGGAAGATGCTGAAATTCAAAATATTTGTTGCTTTTTAGACTGCTCTTAATTGATAGGACGTGAAATATCAATCAGTATCTGAAGTTATGAATCGGCTGAAATCTGTCGCCAACCTTATGCTCCATCGTCAATTAAAAAAATATCGGTGCCATGCCTCAATATGGCCTTTAACGAATATTGACTATATGCCGCAAAGAAACGGTTATAGAAATTCAAAAGATATCAACTGATGCCGTTATTGCCATAATATTTTTCTAAACACCTTTGGTTTGAAATACACTGGAGATCTTTATGAGTATAATTGTTAAATTTTTTAAGGAATTTGAGACAGTAAAGAAGGTATAGTAATCAGAGATTAAAAACAATTTTAATATGAACACGCCAAAGATTTCATCATTTATTTATTTTCATTCCACAGAGAGCCTCCATCGAAAGCCCGAAGTCTTATGCTTGGTTTGCGGGGACAAGGCTTCAGGCAAGCACTACGGGGTACAAAGTTGTGACGGTTGTCGAGGCTTCTTTAAACGCAGTATCAGACGCAACCTGGAGTACGTATGTAAGGAGAACGGGAACTGTGTTGTAGACGTGGCCAGGAGAAACCAGTGCCAAGCCTGCCGTTTTAGAAAATGTTTGGAAGTTAAAATGAACAAAGATGGTATGTTATGTTATTTTGTGATAATTGTCTATTAGAAGTTCTCTAATTAAATCATTTTTACATACAGGCCATACTGGTTTAAGCTTGTAGTTTAATCTCCACATTTTTTATTTCAAATTTTCATTAACCAGATAACGCAACATTTAATCTTTATAATTCCATTACATTTTTGCCAAAATCATTTTAGCACAAAAGCAACAACAACAACAATAATAATAATAATAATAAAATAATAATAATAATAATAATAATAATACTATCTATCTATTTTCAACCAAAGTAGGATCATACGTTTATTTAATTATGCACAGTAATACACTCATCTTTTAACATTAAACTGCCCTTCAATATTCTATTGTGGCAAACCATTGGTGTATCATTTCCAGTTTTCCTGCCAAGTAACTCACAATATATAACCGCACCGTGCCTCCTATTCTCACATCCCCGAAACCAGGTTATTTCAGTATTTCCCCAAACACAACAATATTCATTTTGCGAAATAATTAACCTCTTTCAGTGATACATCACAGGGTTCTATTAAACGGTTTTCAGAGCTTTTCAGTGGTTTTGAGCGGCTAAGCCTTTCACTAGGTGAGATAGATGTACAATTGTGATAACCCAAATAAGTGGGTGTGTCCAAAACTCCTCCAGATCAATTGCTGACCTGCGTCCGAGGTACCAGAGCGCGTAATCGACAAGATTCTTATCATAACTGCCCAAATTTTATGTAATCAAGTGTAACTCGAGCGGGCAATGGACGCATTGTTGACCTCTCGAAACGCTGCTCCGGGCCATGTTGACTTTAACACCTTCCGACCAAGGTGGCGTCTTTGTCCGCGTAGCATCACTGGTGTGAGAGGTCAGAAAATTAAGCGGCTATTGTGGTTCTACAGCAGAGCTGTTACCTGATGTGTTGTTGTGTGTGAATTCAGTTTGTACATACCTGTAATTAAGCACGTGTGGTGTGCTTGACACGCTATTCTCGCCTCCTAGTTGTCACCTGGCAGAAATGCGTGGCAATTATTTAAACGGGGAGGAGTAAATTTTGGCAATCATTTTACAGTTCTTTGCGTTCTTTAAATAAGCTTAATTAAACTTTTAAACTGGAATTTTGACAGGCATAAACTGAACGGTGGAACTTCACGTTTTACGTATTTTAATTGAATTGAGATACAAAAGGTGAAGCAGATTATATAGACATTTGTAAAATTGATGCATTAATTATCCTTCACTCAAGCTTGAAAAAAGGAAGATAAAAACATAAAGGAATGAACTTAAACTAATGATCAAAACTGAAGTGACATCACATCGAATATATACCTTTCAATGCTATGTCTTACATACCTGAAGACCTTTTTAAATGATGATTAATACATTCATTAGCGACATATGTTTTTTGAACGATTTTCGTTTAAATCTTTATTGAGCCCAAGTCATTTGTAAATCGCATTTGCATTTTCAGATATCATTTTAATGTATTTTGGACATTAATTTGATATTTGTCCAGGGAAACGTGCCTCTTTAAATGGGGAACGGGAACTCATTGCCACATGTTGGAAAGATTCGTATAAAATTACAACGAAACCTAGGATTAATCAGCGTGCTTGGAGCGTAATAACGAATAGAAATGTGCGAGAACCGAGCAACTGGTCTTGTTTTAGTCGTCTATTTGTTCGCCTATTGCCTTTCACCAAAACTATAGATCGGAAACCACTCTGCGCACTGATCTATTGTGAGGAAACGGGAATGTCGCCAACTGTTCTTGTCATTTCTCCTCATTTTGAAGTTAGTTTTGTTTTCTTAGCCTGCCACTTTTTGATCAATAATCTCAGCAACGGCAGCCCACTGCGCCCCCTTCATCCACAGATCAATGGCGACTGAGCGCGTTTCCTCATTAGACTTTCAAATGTCTCCGTTTTAATCAATCCGTCGAGTAGAACGCGCGCTACCTTTACCTGGCTGAGCAAACAGCGCGCTGTTGACACAACCGCGTGTGTGCTCAAAAATCAAACTCTCATTAACACTCGCGCTATTAATGTCATTAGGAAATGATAACGCTTCGATTTTCCGCCACTTAACTTAAGTCTCTGATCATTATTGTTAAGGCACATGTCGCACACAACTCGATGAATTCCCAGAATTTGTTGTTCTCCAGGATATATTTAACTAAATCTCAGGAAGTTAATAATTAATTATGAGCGTCCAGAAGAGATCTACTCATCACAGGAGGCTTGCTTTGATATGTTTCTCTTCTTTTTTATATGAAGGGACGAGTTTCAGCAACAGTAGTAGCAAATCTTACCAGATACAGACGTTCTTTTTTTAAACCATTAAAAAGATATAAACAAAACCTCATAATCTAGTGTATTGCTCTATGTTCTCGTTATAAACTATCCTCAATCTATTCTCAGTGACCGAGGTTGAGAAAAGGAATAATATCTATCTTAACTAAGCAGTTTAATTGATCAAATATGCCTGTAAAATTTCAATTTAACTATTGAAAGAGTAAAAGCAGTGAAAGTTGCTCGTTACTTGGTGCTCTTAACTAGGCTTAGGTACCTCACCTACCGTCCTAACAAATAGTGCATTCTGAATTGATTATCATTAATTGGAACTTTCTGAGTCAGCTCCGATGACTTCACCAGCTGATCTGTTCTCAGGGCCCCAGGAGAGAGCTGGTGAAAATTTGATCTTGTTCTCGTGGTAGCTTCAGGAAAATCATTTACAATGGCACTTCCGTCTTCGGATGAGTAGCTCTGATATTGATTGGCATCTGAAATGGCTTGTCATTGCAGCCTTTCGACGGATCACTTTGGGCAAAGCTCTTTTTTTTATTTGAAACAGGAACAAACTTTTTCTCTCTTTTTTAGAGGTGATTATTGTAGTGATTTTTAATTATCACAAGCTTCCAAAAGCTTGACTTGCTTTGGAAGTAGACATTATAATTATTCATACGCGAGGGCCATTAGGACTCTATACTCTTGCCCAGGTGGGGTATACACAAAAACGCACTGTGAGAACTAAAGGAAAACACTCGGGCGGGTTTAGGTTATCAAGAAAAGACCAGGTCTAAATTTTTGATGGCCAAACCCCCTCTGCCCCCCCCCCACCCCTGATCCCACCGCTCACCGACATGCAATCGCCAGTGAAAACAAAAACATTACAGAAAACTGCCTTTTCAGTCAATATGCACTCGATTCGAAGAAATGTGGCCAACGCCCATGGTTTTTTAATCAATCATCCAAAACGGAGAACGTTTGGGTCAAGCTAATTGAAGTGGACTTAGGCACGTCCGCGTTGCAGCCAGAAAATATCCCTTGCCCTCGCGTGGAGGGACTTAACCCGTGCAGTAATTAAACATTTATCGGTAGCAACGTTTAATTAGTAGTGTTTTAATCCGCAACCCGGTGTCAAAGAGGGAGATTAGCCGCCAAATTAGCTCGGCTCGCCGGGTAACGGTGTACTCGATAGACTGAAGAGATGTGCTTGAACGATATAACAGACAATCAGCCGTTTCCTGGAGAATTGATTTTTCCGATACGAGATCTTTTAGCTCCGCTCAAAAGAACGCAAGTTTGTCTATTAGCATGTGTAAAGTGTTAATATTTTAATAGCGCATTGATTAATGTCACTCCAGCGCGAAGTGCATTAATGAACGTGCAAATAGCGTCAGCTGGGGAAAGATTGACTTCTTCTCGCGCGCTACTCCTCGTGCTATCTCGCGTTGCCATGGAGACGATCGAAGGGCACCGCTGTGTTTTTTACACTTCAGTTAGATGAAAGTGCTTATTATAAAAAGGATACAATTGCTTTGAATATTCCCATACTCGAGGTAATCTGTGAAATAATTAAGATTAACTATCGCAACTTAAACATCTCGTTCACCGTTATTGATGAATGATTTGAGAAATAATCTACTCGCCTTTAGTGCAAGACATTTACTAATTATAAGCCATAAATCAAATTTGTTTTTTTAACGAAAACTGCTAAAGATTATCTGTGCGCAGAGCTGGAAAATTGACATGCAGGAGTTGAATTGTAAAAGCATACAATGATCGTAAGACATAAAAATAGCAAAGTTTAAAATATAAATTTGGACGATTCCCCCCTAGTCAACAAGGCATACCCTATCTACAGCTGTTTAGAAAATTACGATCATGACATCCGTTTTCAATTTCTCATTCACTTTTGTAATGAAGTGACTCTTCAAAAACTTATAAAGGGGTCTATGTATTTTTTATTTTAGCTGTTTTTTTTTTTTTTTAGTATAACTTCAAATTTACGCTCTTGCTATTCATCTCACGCTAAGGGAATAAAGTAAATTAATTTGAATTTATAAAATTTTTATTCCTTCAGCTGTTCAGCACGAGCGAGCCCCCAGATGCTACCAATATAAACGCGACAGTCCAGACATAATGAAGTCCGCAGACGACAGTCCCTTCCCGCCATCCGCCTTCCTGGACAGAACGCGGTAAGTCAAAACTTTACGTCTGCATTGCGCTATAGCGAAAGCGTTTATTCTGTGATTGTCACAATTTTTCTCCCATTTCAAAATCCAAACAATAATTTGGATAAACGCTCGACATAAAAAATTACTTCGCGAATCAATTGCGTACAATTTTTTCAGATGTCAAAATTAAATCAAAATACTTTGCCATTTAAGTACACTATGAAGTCGTTGTTATTTCAAAATCAAAACAATAAATTGTCATTTCATGACAGGAGTAATGAAATATTTGTCAAATACATCCTCTTTTATGTTTAAAACCTCCATTCTTGATGTTTCAGATTTGAGTATACACAGTTTCATCAGTACAGTCCCCCCATTGGCCTCACGCCAGACTTCGGTTACCATGGCTCCCAACTTTATCAACCGTCAGCGTTAAACATGATCTCTGACATTAAAAGGACATCATCAGTGGTCAGTTTGCCCAAGGAGAACGCTCAACTGGACAAGTCCAGTTCGGCATCTTCAGCTTCACAGAGGAACGAACAAGAGTTAAGCGTTGAAAAGAAAGAGAGGATGGCGAAAAATGACGAAGACAGCCGCCCATGTTCAACTGTTTCGTCACGTTCGGGTGATCTGAATGACGACAGAAAAAGTGAGTCTAGTCCTTTAATCTTGTTAGTGAACGTAACTGATAATATAAGTTTCTTTTGGTTCTATGCATCAATTTGTGTTTTTTAAACTGTGTTAAGTTTTAAATCATTCGTGTATATGCCTAAACAATTGCCAATCTGCCATACTTGTCACTGATCTTAAACTACTTAAAGACGTTATTTAGATTTAAGAAATTAAATCTCGATGTTAAAGAAAACTTAATCATGTAGAATTTTACAATGTGTGACTTAGCCTACTACATGTAGCGATAACTAAAAAAAATAAAAAGAACGAAATCAGGAATTGATGGTATCTGTATTTGGAACGTGTCTGTCATAGGAATCGTAGTTATTTATATTTGATTGGCTTTTTAAACAGGTGCAGAACCAAAACAAGAGAAGAAGTCCAGTTTGTCAGTTTCTCCTTCCATCTCATCTCCGCCCACACACCTTACAGTGCCATCTTCACACGTCACATCTTCTGCGGACCACGTCACCAGTTTGCGTGCACACGTCACAGCCACGGCCCCGTCATTTCTCACCCACCCTATTCAGTTTCCGTCCCTGCCAATATTAGAACAGAACATGTATATGACTGCTGCCGCTGAAAATATCTACGAAGCTGCGGCAAGACTGTTGTTTATGTCGGTGAAATGGGCCAGAAATATTCCGTCCTTTCTCCAGTTGCCGTTCAGAGATCAAGCAATCCTGCTGGAAGAGTCTTGGAGTGAGCTCTTCATTCTCAGCGCTGCCCAGTGGTCAATGCCCATTGATATAGGTAAGATACATATGACGTTTTAAAATCTTAATTTTTGACATTTTTATAATGCTGTTAAAACCGAATGAGCTTTTCGTTGGACGAGTTGAGAATGTGGTCTTTATAATATCTCTTCTTTTAATAAACACTGCTCGAAATTGATATTTTTACTCACATTTTAAGATCAACATGAACTGCATTCTCTTATCTATTTTAATTTTTGAAAAAATACTGCAAAGGAACGAAACAATGGAAACATATTCCCTTAATAAATAAATGCCACATCTTTATATTCTAGGCACTTTGTTAGGAACAAACAGCCTAGACACACGGCAAGTGGACAAGTCGTCTCTGATATTACAAGTACGGGCACTGCAAGATATTCTGACACGGTTCAGTCAGCTGCGGGTGGATTCCACAGAGTACGCCTATCTGAAAGCATTGGTTCTGTTCAAATCTGGTAAGTGAAGAGGTCCTTGTAATATAATAATAATAAAGTTGCTACTTACTTAACTGCCATGGGGCATGTAGTCTATGTAAGCAGAATATCATGTCGTTTAAGAACTCCGTAAGAATTGGCAGTAGCGTGAGTGCGGTGTGAATTGTGTTAGTTGCGACATTCACGGATTGCACCACTTTGGTACAATGAGGTCGCGTTAGTTGAGACTGTGTTAACGCAATGGCGCAAGAATCTGATAGCGTTTTTAAATCATTTATTTTAACTAGTGATCTTTATTCTACTTCCTCATATCATTCTTATGAACGCTATAATTTTTTTGTTTTATTCTAGAGGTGCGCGGACTACGAGACTCTCTCCAAGTGGAGGCACTGCAAGACCAGGCGCAGCTGATGCTTCAAGACTACTGCCTCACCCAGCAACCAGGGAGCAAGGTGCGCTTCGGGAAAGTGTTGTTACTGATGCCCGCCGTACGCACGGTCAGCCCACGAACCATAGAGGATTTGTTCTTCCGCCGAACGATCGGGAGTATCCCCATAGAGCGATTGTTGTGTGACATGTTCAAGTCAAGCTAGGTTCCTGGATTAAATGTCACAGCGATGGCGCTGAGGGAAGCGACAAGATGCAGTACTGTGAGCGCTTTGATGTTGGAATTAGACCCTTGACAAGATGGTGGTTTTGACAGAGCTGCATTCACTGCAACAAGACAAAGTTATGTCATTGGTTTATGTTTATTTTTGTCCCAGTTTTGATTCCTAGTCACAGAACATTATGGACATAATAATGAAGTGATTTTGGAAAGTTTGCGCAAAACCTTTATTTCTTTATGTGATACGTTGTCATCATATGGCCATATTTTTGCACATCTACCGCTGCTGAGACACCAGAACTTTGTCATGTTGAAAACCCTAGATCAAATCCAGGACAATTTGTTGAGATTTTCCATTATTAATGTGAACTTTGAATAATGCCGTCCTCATATTTTTCAAGAAGTTTAATACGCATCATTATATGACCATACCTTAAATGAATTGTTGTCCCTATAATGCCAATATGGCAGACTTAGCGGCAGGGTCGATTTGATGAAAATGGTATATGACTTAATGTTCAGCATAATGAATAAGTCGTTGTTAATGGCAACTTAATGTGAATTTTGTCTAAATGTGAAAATAATATGAATTATTTCATAATGTGTTCGAAAAATCCGAATGCAATTCCTAAATCTGAAACGTAAAATTGGACATTTTGATCGGTATTGGGGAAACGTTGTGAAATTCAAAATTAGCTTAAAGTGTCGTGTTGGACCCATATCACTTTGAAGTTTTTTGAATGTACAAGAATCTGAACGATGATCAGTATTATTGTAATATTTATTTCTGTTGGTGCCGTAGGTTTGGTGATATATATGTATATATAAAGAACAATGTCAATTTATAATTATTTGCAGTCTTTTCTTTTTTAATTCTCTGAAAAGGCAAGTTTGTTCCCCCTTTTTTGCTTATGACAGGAGCTAGCAAGACGCCAGCAGAAAGCCACGTTCCATGTTGTTGTGTCGTATAGACTTAAAGCAAACAATTATACCTTTCATATTCTGTCATACTCTGTCATATTTGGATTTAAATTAGAGTACTAGCGGCTACCCAAACTCAGTGAAAAAACGCAGCTAATATTCAGTAAGTAATCAGTGCTTTCAGTATATAACTGAAAAAAGAAAAAATATAAAAGTACAAATATTAGCTTATTAGATTCAAGCCAACATTACCAAGCGTCCTGCTTAGTCTTGTAGCAACTGTTCTCTGTAAGTCAATTGATAGCGTCATCAGTGCTTCTTCTCTATCCTTCTCGTTTTCTTTTTCCTTCTCGTCTCATTTTTAAAAATATTAAAATTAAAAAAAAAAACGCTCCAAAAGCCGAAAAGTAGTCACAAAACTCTCCGAAGCAAGAGCAAACCGGAACAATATGACGTTACGTCATTATGACGTCACATGTTACTTCATCCCAAAGTCTGGAGTTGGTTTGATAGTTGTGGTTTCATTTAGTTTGATAGATTCCTCTAATTCGTAAACGATGTTTCTAAGCTCATCAAGAGAGCTTTCGTCGTTCTCATTGAATCCTGGAAACAGAAATACAAAGACAAGGAAAAAATAAACTAAGAATTCAAATTATTAAAGCTAAAGGTCATTTTTAAACAAACTAAACATTAAGGGAAATAGATGCAATGTTTTTAAATTATGCAAACTAACAGGCACCGCCCAGCACCGTTCTAACTGAAATCTTCTTAATTCCAACCCGCTGAAGATGATATTTTCTTCGCAAATTCCTGCGAAATCTCTAGATTGATAGGTCAGTGTGACCCAGAAGTATCAGCGTAAAGTTGTCCACCTCCATGAGAAAGTCTTTTTAGGAGGTTTAAAATTGTTACTAGTCAAGTCTGGGCTGGGTGCATGCCTGATTTTTTTGGGGGGAGGGGGGAATAGTTCATGCATCTAATTGTATTGTTGTTGGAAATTTACAATCAAAATGTATTGTTTTAATGGAACAGGTGTATACAGAATAAAGAGTAACAAGTTGACGTGGTACGGTGATGATTCATTTCGTTATTGCATCAATTCCTATGCGGGTGAAGTGACGATAACAGTTGAAAAATGGGCCAAAAGCGTAGTTTATTTTTCGATGTCAGTCCTTGTTACTTTACTATCCGCTGCATACAAATCTTTTTATAGTGATCAGCATTAGGTAAAATATTCTCAACCATAAACCAATTTTCATAGTCATTGCACTGCATCGGTATTTGGGCATTAAATTTTGCGAAATAGTCCAATAACAGCTTTCTCACTGCAACTATCCATAATTCAATAAAACGAACTACTTTGGGTTCATCAGTCATTCACATGATAATAATTAATTCTGTTTGCATTAGGTACTCTTTATAATATGGGAGACTATATAATAAAACCATGTTGACAGACAGCCATACGTTATCTTTGGCGGACCCAGTTTTTTTTTCCGGTGGGAGGGTGGTGCTGGACAGGGGTTTAATTATTTCGCTTCACTTAGGTTAACAATGTTATCACCCAAATTATGACATAAGGTATGTGGATGAACAATTGTGCAATTTTATCTCTACTCGTTCGTTATACTAGTTGGGGGGGGGGGGGATTTTAGTTTGGAGGAGGCACGAACCCGCTGTGCCTCCCCCCCCCC